TTTCAGATTTATGTGGGGATGAGGAAAAGTTTATTTTTCTGGATACCATTTACCCGGGTTAGTGATACCATCTCCTAGGTGGGCAAATAACTTTCTCACCTAGGGAGAAAGTTGCCAACACTTGAATGGGACAAAAATGCCCTTTTTAATAATAGACTTTTATGGTTAAAATGGTCATTACCTTATTTACATGAGAAATAAAAGAACGTGGGTAAATGCACTTACTCGAGTCTTACCCAAATAACTGCATTTACCCGGGTAAATAACTTATCAAAAAACGAACATGGCTTAAGTTCTAAGTTCTAACTTCTAAGGCGGGCATGTTAACTAATTCACTGACTGTCATGAGTCTTGTTTTTCGTTTAATTTCCATTACTTGTGATAGGAGTGACATCGTTCGACAACAATGGTGAAAAACACAACTTTGTAGCAAAAGACCATCAACAGGGAGGACATTGTTTACAAACTATTGTCGATATGGGGCAAAATTGGAATTATAATAAAATATGTGATGCAGTATAAACATCTCAAAATGTTCTCTATTATCCATTTGCATCAAGTGGGCGTAGCGCAACACATGGTCATGGGTGGACACAAGCCGAGCCGAGCTGAATAATTGAGTATTTGAGCTCAGTTTGGTAGAAAACTACAAGGCTCAAGCTCGATTTGAATCAGAAATGGAAGCTCGAGTTCGGCTCGAGTATAGAATGTATGTGTTCGAGCTTGATAATGAACCGAGCTTGAATTTGAGCTCGAAATCGAGCTTTCTGAAACATGGTTTTAATAAACTCAAAACCCTTTAGCTGCCAAGAAAAAAACCTATTCCAAATCAATTTAATTGACAACATAAAAAAGAAGATGAAAGCAAAACTAATATGTCCTTGTCTTTGTTAACGAAAAATAAACATTTGCTAACTCGAAATCTCAAAAAACTAAAAAACGCAAACCCAGAACAAAACAAAAAGAAGACAAAAGCAAACCTAATCTGTCATTGTCTTTGTCTCGCCTCCGATGTCCATAGTGAGTCGTGAGCCGTGACTGACTGACTGTGTGTTGTGAGTGTGCGTGAGACGGTGAGAGGCTAGACTGCGAGAGACTAGAGAGGCTGCAACTTGCGGCTGAGAGTCTACGATCTGTGAGGCTGGACTGCGACTGCGAGCTTGACAGTTGAGAGTTGAGAGGAGAGCTTGAGAGGAGAGGAGAGACGGGAGCTGTGGTGGTGACTGGTGAGAGGCTGGGGTGGTGAGGCCTGATTGCCTAAGAGATTGAGAGTTGAGAGGAGAGGAGAGACAAGAGAGAGAGAGAGAGAGGACAGGGAGGAAACTCAACTTTCAAAGGGTTTTTGATTTCTGAAATTGCACTGTGTATAAGGGACTACGATTATAAAATAGTATCACGAATGAAATTTCTTGAAAAGGTATAATATATATATATATAAAGCTCGATATGAGCTGAGTCGATCCGAGATTTTCACGAGCCGAGCTCGAATGGCTCGTGAAAAGCTTGACTCGTGTCCACGTCTACACATGGTATATTAATATTTGAGGAGTTTTAGAGGGAAATCAGATTTGTAACTAAAATTGTGCTCGCACCATTATCACAAGCTTTTTCAGCCATGGGGAATATATCACCATGAACAAAAAAGATATAAGTATGGAGATATTACTGAAGGGTGAGAATGGTGTGAGCACAATTTTGTGAGGTGACTTTTTTTAATTTAAGGGTAATTTTCAGTTTAGTATAATTTTGAAAATAGTGTCAAGTGAGTATCTGAACTTTCAAATGTGTCATTGTAGTACTTAAATTTTCAAAAACTGTCAAGTTGGTCCTTGTCGTTAACCGACCGTCTGTTATGTGTTGAAAATGTCAAAACTATCATTTAAAAGTAGATATTGTTCATTGTCTTCTACCTTGAGACTGAACTGCTGCTAGTGGCAATTTTTATCAACTGCTGCTAAAAGGCAGTAATTTAGTGGTAGACGCCGAATAGCCAAGTCGAAAACAACCACTAGAAATGTAATTTTTTGTAGTGACCGAATCAAGGTACAAATTTGAGGTGAAACACCTCTAAGTTCCAAAGTCCATATAACAAAAAGTCCTACTTAACCCTTTCTTAAGATTTAGAGAAGTCCATTTTCAACATGAAACTCCCTTCTTTACCTATCAACTTCCTCATGGCATGAATGATTCTATTATCATGTATTTGCCTACCTTGTGAAATGGCATTTTGGAAAGGAGTTATTAATGGATCAATCACCTTTCTAAGTCTTAGAGTAATAATTTTTGTAATTACCTTGTAAGGGACATTTGTCAATTCAACTTGGGCATAGGCCACTAGGGCTCTCAACTCCTTTCGTAGGGATTAGAACTAGTGTGGTGTCATTAACCTCCTCCACCAAATTTGGTGAATTGAAGACATATTGACAAACTTCATTAGGTCAGGGCTAGTTCCCAACTATTTCTAGTCGGCCTCCTCTACTATTGCTCAGTCTATGATATAGACATCATTCTGCCAATGTTTACTTATTTCTTGCACCTAAAGAAACACCAGTAGGGTTACTACTATTTCTCGGCTTGACATCATAACAAAGTGCTCGTCGGGGCTCCCTCCTTAGTGAAGCACTGGAAGGAGAGATTTTTCTTCATGCCCTGCCTCGGTGGTTTGCCATTCCCCGCCGAGCTATGTGTCCTGAGGACCAAGGTGAAGGCACCAATTGAGGCCGAGCTATTTAGGGAGGAGTCAACGGCCATAAGGCGGGTAGAGAGGATTGACGTGTAGGAGTACATGTCATTCTCGATGTTGATCTGTGTTGGGCTGATGAGTAGCACGATCGAGCACTACCAGTCTAGTTCATGGGTTGTGCGATCTTTCTTTTCTTTATTTTGATCTCGTCTTTACTTTGTGTTGAATTTGTGGCGAACTATGCAGGAACGGACATGGCTAGTGCTGAGGAGATGACTCGGTGTATGAGGGCTGCGACAGAGAGGAGAGTGCAAGCCGCTAAGGCTCCGAGTGCACAGCCCAAGGTTGCGAAGCAGCAGGGGCGCTTGGCGAAGTGCACGCCTCGGCTGGGGAAGAGGCTGAAGCTCCTAGAGGAAGTTGTCATCATCGACTTTGAAGAGGCCGCGACTTAGTTCGATCATTCGTTGCTGCCAAGGGGGGACATTCTAGAGCGTGCTGCAGCAGAGAGTTCGGATGGGGTGTATATGTCACAGTGGTTTGTTTGGTCAAAGGACACCCTTGAGACAGAAGGGGTGTTTGAGCAACTTGCCCAGGGTTTGATGCTCCCTGGCATTAAGCAGGAGGCCAGCAGTCATACCAGCGGCTTCTTGGAGAGCACGACCATGCACCAGGTCGTGGTAGTGAGTTCTGCTTCTTTTGTTGTAGTTTATTGCTTTTCTCTTCTTGTACTAATAACTTGATGATTTGTAGTTTATCTGTTCGGTCATCGGTCTCGTTGACCGCCTTCGTGCACTACGATGCCTTTATGAGTCGCAGGAGGTCGAGTATGAGCAAACTGTATGTGGAGCTGGCCAGGTTGAAGCGTGGTGTCAAGGAGAGGGACGACACTGTTCGCAAGCTGAAAGGCCGCATCCACGACCTGAAGGAGATGCGAGATGTGCTAAGGAAGGAGCTATGGGATGTCGAGGCGAAGATTGTACAAGTACAAGGCTTCGGAGGCCCACCAGAATGACCTGGATTACTTCACCACAGAATGTTGGTAGGAGCGGTTCGCTCTTTACCAGCAAAGGGTCGTGCGTCACTTCTCGGAGGTGGCCGAGGTTGTTCAGGGGTTTGGTTTGCTCGATGCCCCTATGCCTGAAGAGGATGACACTATTGCTGGTGTCCAAGAGCAAGCCAAGGAGCCCCCAGTTGATGAGTGAAGTGCTCCCCTTGTATGCAACTCGGTATGCCAAGCTTTGATCCATGTGATTAATCTTTACAATTAGTGATAACTTAAACTTTTTGCCAAGCATTCTTTTTTGTGTCCTTCATTTTCTTTGTGCCTTGTAAATGAGTTGATTGTGGGTCTTGGTCTTGTGTTGGATGAGGTGTCTAGTAGTCGAGGTCGTGGGTTTCATGGCCTCGGTTTTGTGCTGGTCAAGGTGCTTCTGAGCTCTTGATATCTTTGGGAAGTTCGGTGGCGCCTAATCTCAGGGAGCCTTATGCTTTGACTGGGCTAGCTTTGTTTCTCAGATGGCTCTGCTCTGGCGGTTTGTCAATTGGGTGTGTAGAGTTCGATGGCCATGCTCTTGCCCTTTGGGATGTGGTCATGTAGGACGATCCAAATACTTCAAGCCTTTCTTCCCTTGAATTTGAATCACTCTTTGCCATGTTTGCCGACGTCCTTTGTAAGGATTTTTTCCTTCATATACAAGGTTTCAAATTTCAATACGATACGATTTATACAGGGTGTATCTTTTAAAATATAATATAAGATATGGTGGAAAATCGGTTGTGTCATCCTTTTTTCTATTGTGTTGGATCGCATTAGACTACATCAGAGGTGTATAGGCATATCGTTTGATACACTAAGAATAAGATACAGACAAAAAATGAAAAATAAAAAATAAAAGGGGAAAGAAAACTTTATTTTCCTTGAAATAAACCTTATTTCACTCCAAAATGACTTTAAAATTCCAAACCTCATTAATAGAGTATGCAAAAAAATAAAAATAAAAATAAATGCAACAAACACATATGAATCATTATGTTTTTGAAGTTTTGAAAGATCCCAGAAAAATGGATTTTTTTTCAATTTTCGTAATATCTTGTAATTCTTTTTTGCTTGAATGCTTGTAAAATGGTCCTAAATTAATATAGATGGGCTATTTACGTTACGTGGAGCCTTCATATATGCTATTAGTTTTTAAAACCACACGGTATATACAAGTAATTTACCCAAACCTCAACCTGTATAAATAATTATCCAAGAGAAAGGAAAATGTGTTAAAAGCCAAAGATAATTTTTTTTTCTTATTTGCCATACACAATGGCTATTGCTGGTTATGTGAATAAAGAAACCAAACCATAACCAATGGGCTGTTGAAGTAGGCCCAAAGAAGGTTAGTCGGATCGCTAGTATAATGTTTACAATTTGCCCGTTGCTTTGGCTTTATCATAAAGCCAAATTTTAACTTCGTATTTGCCTTCTGTTTTTCAGAACAAAAATAAATTTCACATAATTTTCTGATGATGCATTGGCATTTATGCCGAAACCCCGAAGAATCAATGCATTGCAGCAGCGTTTCATACGTAAAATGGTTTTTGACTGTTTCAGCTTTGAGCTTTCTAGTCTTCTAGATATATTTATGAAGCTTTTGTTTCTTTCTCTCTACTGGTTAAAGGTTAATCAGTAGTCAGATGCGGGGCAGCCACGTGTCAACCAATGAGGTGGAAGCGTAGTGTGGTGGTAGGACCCTTATGTCCGGAGAAGGGGAACTTTTTAATTTCATTTCGATCACTAGCCCACCAGATCAACGGAAAGGGTTCAACAGCGACTTACAGTTACGATCAAGGAGGAGCTGTAGAGCGAACGTATCGGATGAACTGACGGTAGGAAGATAGCACTATGTATTTAGTGTTACTGTATATTGGATCTAAGGTATTTTGTCGCCATTGCCGAAGTTTTAATGTTTTTTTATTGTTCAGGTTTGCCAGTGGGATTAACGAATTCTCCACTTGCTTCAACGTAACTTCAGTATTCCCTGCACAGTGATTGAAGTTTCTGAGAATTAACTTGGGCTTGGATGCAAAACAAGATTGATTTGCATCTCCCGAATTTTGGGACTGATTTATTGTAATTGTTATTCATTCTCTTTTGATTTAGCTTATATAAATCTCATTGAATTAACTGCTCAAGATGGGAATTTTTGATGGACTGCCTACTCCGCCCGAGAAAGCTGTAAGTATTCTTTTATGCTCCTAATTATATAAGCAAGCAACTTTTTATAATTTTGATTGATAGTTGTATTGTGAACATTTCTGTTGATATGATTATTAAGTTTGGTTTCATTGTTAACTGCAATTATTTGGAATGAGAAAGTCCACTTTAGAGCATGTTTGAGTTCTTAAGTTATACTCTATGGACATTTGAATAATCTTCTCTTATTTAGTATGAGAAGCAATACTCCCAATTGAGTTGGGCTCCTTCAGTAGTCCTTCACAAAAGCTAAAACACAATTTTAATAAAGGCCCGTTTGGGAGGGCTTCAATGTTGATTGAGCTGTGTGACTGAGTCGCTTTGAGGAAGTTACCAAAACTAGCTTCACTGGAAAGTCAATTTCTGATCTCAGTGTAGTGTTTTGGGGCTTTCCGGGTTTTTCACCAAACATAGCTTCATGGCTTTCTGTATGGGGCCTACCTTGCAATGCCAGAAGCTGCTATGTGAAATCCCTTCCAAATAGGCACAAAGGGTAAATTACAGATAGCCACCCTGTACTTGGGAGCTGGTAACACTTATTCCTCCGAACTTTGTTTTGTGACAACCCCTCCCCCCCTGAACTTTCCAGCACTTTACCCCTGATCTGCTAACATGCTTGACAGTGAAAGTAAAATTGCTAAATTGCCCATTTGAAATTTTATGGACTTACAGAAGCCAATATCAAAATGATGAAAATAACTATTCTAAAGTACACTTCATTTTCAAGATGTTGTCGAGCTGGTCATTCTCAAGGTGTCCTCAAGATGAATTTTGTTGAAAGAAAGTTGATAGAAACATGTGAGAGTTAGAAACTAAATAAAACTTAGTTAAAATAGCAAGATGGTCTCATAAAATCATATAAGGGTAGTTTGGGGTTTAAAATGTTTAAAGGAATATTCCACGAAGTTAATTGATGGAATGCTAATGGTGGGAGCAAAGTGCTGGAACCCAGAAGTTCACAGGGGTCATTCTCAAGGTGTCGCTACAGGGTGGCTATCTATAGTTTACCCTATTAAAAGTTATTGATTCAAATCACTTAACAGTTCCTTTTTAATTTATATATGTCCCATTGGTGAGTTATATCTATTATTTTATTGCTTTTTGATTTTCAGTATTTAAAGGAAGACCTCTTAAGAATTGATGAAAGCTGGGCAACTGCACGTTTTGATTCTTTACCTCATGTTGTCCATATTTTAACATCAAGGGATCGTGAGGGCGAAGTCCGGTACTTGAAGGAACAGAATGATATCATTGAGGAAGTAGTTGACGAAGTTGTGCATGCTTACCACAGTGGTTTTAATCAAGCAATCCAAAACTACTCGCAAGTTCGTAATAGTTTTTTCCTTTAACCTATTTATTTATTTATTTTTATAAGTTCCTTTCTTAAATTATTTTAAAATTTCCATCTCTTATAGATTCTTCTCCATTTTATTCCATTTTTATAATTGATGCTATTTATAATAAGGGAAAAAAGGTTTTGAACTCTTTTTCATGGCTATGATAAAGTGATTGTACTGGTTGTACAACAAGAGAACAAAAGGCATGATATACAAGATGGAAATATAATATGGCACTTAATCCTTTATTCTTACAGTTAATGTCAAGTAAGGAGAGATGATGAACTACCTTTTTATCCTCCATAATTACATGTTTCAATGATCTGAAGTACTTCTCTTGCATTCTTGATTTTCAATTCTCAGCCCTTAATTATGTGGAACACGTCCTTTGGAGTTTGTGATCAAGTTCCTGGACTGTCAGTATTGGGTAAATAATAAGTAATTGTATTTTTTGTGCAGTCTTATGGTGCATTTCAGAGAAATAGTATAGAACAATCTTTGAGAATAAGAAAAGACCCTACAGTCAACTATTGATTCAGTAATAACTAAGTAATTGACTGGATTCAGTGAAAACAGATATTCAGAGGATTATAACTGATTCAGTCACCAGGTTGAGTGTTTCAGTGTTGCTAGTTGTCAAAGAGTGTTGGAAGTCATTTAATAGGCTCTCTTAGTGATAATGCCATTAAATTTAACCTTGTTGGATGTTTTCTAGGCAACGTAGGCCCATAAAGATACTGGTGATACATTTAGAGATGGTTTTTGGTGATTGCCTTTGTATATTTAAGTCTGGGAGGATAAGGAGATTCTGTAAAATTTAAATTTTTCTCATGGATGAGGGAAGGGGAGTCATGTTATTATTATTATTTGATTGGAAACAGTAGCTTCATTAATAAAATATTAAAATACAATTGTCAACCCCTAAAAATAGGGTGCTGAGCCCCAAGTAATCTTTATTACAATACTGCCCAAACAAATTCCCCCTCACGGTCCCTTTTTTAGCTATCGTATCTGCTAAACCATTGGCTGATCTTCTTATCCATTTGAAGCAAGCACCAATATTCCTTGTTATATTGAGGATTTCCCGTATGGGTTGTCTATAAACCTAGGCTCCCAACTTTGCAACACATCCAGAGTACTGATTTTTTGGAGAACAACCTCCCAACAAAAAGCCCAGATTTTTGGAGCTACAGGGTGACACCAAGCCTCCTTTAAAGGGAAAATTCCTTGCAAGGTTAGCTGACTGAAGGAGGACATCAAAGAAAGAGGAACAAATGAAAACACCAGATGGGGAAGGTTTCTTCTAAATTATATTGTCCAAACAAGATTGATCTAGATAGGTCGACCCTAAAAGAGTAACTAGTTCATCCACCATTGCCACTTCTAAATTATATTGTCCAAACATGATTGATCCATATAGGTCGACCCTAAAAGAGTAACTAGTTCACATCCACCATTGCCATTTCCGACTCCCTTAGACCTTTCCTCAATCCCAATTCTCATGAATTATCAGTAAAAACTGAAGAAATAACTCTTCCTTTATTGACAGTGAATAAATAGTAGGGAACTTATCACTAAGGTGAATCTCTCCAAACCTTCCTAAAACAACACTTTGTTTCCTGCATAGGCATCAAACTTGAATTAAGGAAGGATTGAAGGTAATATACCATGAACAACTTTCCAGGGAGAACATCGAGAAGCCCTAGGGTCAACTCCCATATCCCAACCATTGCCTGCCAATCCATGTATGCTAACAATCACACTATGCCATAGTCTATCATGTTCCAATGGTAATCTCCATAACCATTTCCCCAACCATGTTGTGTTTCTTAGTCTAAGTTTCCCATTCCTTGGCCTCCTTCATCTCTACTTCTAGAAACCACCTCCCACTTTACTAGGTGATAGTATTTCATAATCTTCTCTAGCTGATTTGCCACTTTCACTGGTTTCCTAAAGGTAGATAGGAAATACATGGGTAAGTTAGCAAAGGTTGACTTAATTAGAGTTATCCTACCTCTCAGGGAAATGTAGTTTCTCTTTCAATTTGCAAGTCACTTTGTAAATCTCTCAATCATTGGATACCAAAATCTATCTATATTTAGATTTCCTCTCAGCGGTAGTCCCAAATATTGTAATGGCTATTCCCCTACTTCACACTCCAAAAGTCTAGCTAGCAGATCCACTTCTTCACTCCCTAAATCTACTCCTTCCATAAGGTTGGAGATCCTCTCAAAATTATGTACTATCCTTTTTAGGTTCCTAAGTTCTGCTTTCGCCTCACAAAACATAATAATATCATCTGCAAACTGTAGATGTATAACCACCATTTTCTCTCTTCCAACTCTCCAGCCTCTGAGCATATTATTAGATTTTACCCTTATGATATCATTTCACTCAAAACATCGGCTACCAAGGTAAAAAGGAAGGAGACAAAGGATCTCCTTGTCTAAGGCCCCTTTTAGCAGGAAAGAAATCTCTTTCTACTCCATTTACCAAGATTGAGAAGTGACACGAAGAAATGTACCCCTTCACCCATATACACCATCTTGCTCCAAAACCACTATGCTTGAGAATATCCATCAAAAAATCCCAGTGTACCATGTCATATTCCTTTTCTAAATCCAACTTACAGACCAGCCCCTTTGCTTCTCCCTTCTTCTAAACTCTACAAATTCATTAACAATGAGAAATTGATCCGTTATTTGTCCACCAAAAACAAAGGCCTCTTCATTTGGAGATATCATCAAAGGGAGGACATTTTTTATTCTTAGGGCCAACGCCTTTGAAATGATTTTGTACATGCTTCCCACCAGACTTATAGGCCTAAAGTCCTTTGGCTGAATTGCATCCACTTTCTTTGGTATCAAAGAAATGAAAGTTGCAGTCAGTGAGATATAATCTAGATAATAATGGGTTGGGTTAGCATTCAGTGATATAGAGATGAGTATTTTTGATTTCTAGAGTGAACTGTTGTTCTAATAGATTCCTATTTCAACCGACTTAATTTAATGAAGTTGGGAGGGGGAGTTTTGAGAAGCAAGCTTTACTTGGATAGCTTTTTTCTAAATAGGCTTTCCTTTAAAGTATAATTTTGTATAGGTGGCTGTGGATATTGTTTTGCTATGTATACATTTGGAATTTGGTTTTTTAATAATTGTAAGTTACCAGACTTGAATGTGGCTGGATCTGATCTGAATCCAACTCAATTACTGGTCAAAAAGATCCATTGGTTGTCAGTGGCGTTGGCTTTGTAGCCAACGATAGAGTTAGAGAAGAGGGGATACAAGAGTTGCAAGTGGCAAGGGGAATGTGGTGGTGATCAAGAATACAAAGTCCATAGTGGTTGTCCTCACTAGTGATGCTTATATTATCAATGATTGAGTTAGGATTTCAAAATGTGCCTTAAATCATTTTAAATCCAATGGAAGTCAAGGGAATAGTCTTGAGGCAGGATTGCTGGTTTACTTGGCTGGTTTTGGGATTGCAGGGGTGGGATTGTGCTGTTTCAGTTTAGACTTTGGAGAGGCTTGATAGCATGCTGATATTTGTGCCTAGGCTGGATAGGGAAGTCCGTTTGTGTTGTTCTTAAAATTGATATAGGACAGGATGAAGATGACCATAGGTTCATGAAGAATAGAGGCAATGGATCCTTCACATTAATATGAGGAAGTTGGGATCGATAAAAGGAATTTTGAGGCACAAGGGTATTAAGGTTTATGAGAGACATTTTAAAAGAAGAAAGTTGACCTTTTCTTTGCTTGCAGCTTCGATGGGAGTGGTAAATACCTTGAACTAGTTTGAAGATTACATGAAGTTGAATGGTGAGAGGTGTTTTGTAAATGTATTTCCTAACTAGGTAAACTAAAAAATGGATAGTCTGGGCTCTGGAGAAGTATAGGACTCACCCTATGTCGAAGGAGCTAGAAGGGGCTGAAGATCAACTTGTTGAGGAAGGCAAGAGTTGGAAAAAATAGGGGGAGGGTGGAAGTGGAACTTCTGAGGATGTGGCTCCAAACATTAGGTATGTATCAATGTGGCTATTAGATTTAATTGCTGACTACAAGGCCAAAATGGTCAAGCTTCTCAGTTTAAGCTTAATGGGAAGTGAAGACAAGGTAGAGGAAATATTTAGAAGACTAGAAGATTGGGGGGAGGAGGCAGTTCAATGGGAGAAATAAGAGTGGAGGGGGCTTTGCTTAAGGAATAAATATGTAGAAGTTAGCATTGTTGGGCAGATAATAGAGATGAAAAGGCTAGGGGTAAGAAGAAAGGCAGTTGATTCATTAGTTAGGATTCTTTAGCATCTAAGGCGACGAGAGGATCTTTCAACTGCATCATAGGGAGGGTATAGACAGAAGGCAACTGATCTAACCAATGTTTTCAACTCATCACCCAACTAGGAATCTAGGTCCATTTACCCCTAAACTGCTTCTCTAGAAAATTTGTTGTTCGAGTCAACAAACTGGTGATCCAGATGTTTGAATGGCCAAACTGTTTGACCCAATCAGTGGGTCACGGGTTACACATTGGACCTCTTTTCTAACCATAAAATGTCCTTCATTTTCCCGTAACTTTTGTCCAAGTCCTAAAATCCTAATCCATCTAAGCCCTTTACTTTTTTTCTCTCCATTTCTTTGTACTTTTAAACATTCCCATCATTAATAAAATAATTCTTATTTGTTACACTTAATTTTGTCTAACATGATGAATATATAATATTAGAGATGTGCCCATTTTTTTACAAAGTTTTTGCAGCTCTGTTTGTTTTCTCCATTTATTTTAATATTTTTATTATGTACCCATTTGATTCAGATGGTTGAACTACTGACTTGCCACTTGAAGGGAAAACTGGTTTTGTTTTTGGTTATCTTTTTTGAAATATTGGGAATAACCATGGTTTAAGTGCCTGTAGAGAGTTGCATGCAAGAGGTTATAGGAATAGGAATGGAAGAGATGACGATGGAGATCGAAGGCTTTTCTTTGGCATC